CGGCACCGACCCCGTGGCGGCCGCGGGCCGATTCCGCCCCCCAAGGGACCCCGGACACCTGGGTTTCCTGGCGGTCAAGACCAACCGAGGCGGCCAGGGCGACCTGTCACAGGTCTCCCAGGTGTACCTACTCAAAGAGGACGGGTGGGATCTGGGGTGGGACCCGGGGTTAGAGCCCCGGGTGTTGCTGAAGGGGTGGGGAAGTGATGGGAGGGTCACCGTCGAGCAGCGCATGAGCGCTTCATAAATATTTAATCACAATATTATTATTAATAATAGAATAATGGGACCAGAATATGCTCCCTGGGCATTCGCACCTGGCAAGGCCGGGGGAGCCCTCAGGCCCTTCTAGCGTCCACTTTAGCCTGAAGATCCCCGACTGGGCTGTCCAAAACTGGCACAGAACAGCAGCTGCTGGACAGGAGGACATAAAAGCAGTCAAGCAGCCTTGCTGGGCCGGATCGGAGGCTCATCGCAGAGATTATAGCCTCATCTGCTCCTCCAGAGTACTTGTTCCCAAAGTGGAGGGTTGGTTTTCAGTTCAACGCGTAGGTCTTTGCTCCCCTTCCCTGGGTAATCAAGGCAGCCAGGGCTGACAGGCCGAGGCCCTCAGAGGAATGATTCCAAGAATTTCATTTTGAGTGAAGTACTGGTTACTTCAGTACTGTGACCTGGGGCTTCTTTGCATTCCTGCTGTACCATTTCATTCATTCATTCATTGGTTTGAGGAAAGTAGCCCCTAAGTCCGTACTCTGAACAATCCAGGTGAATCTTTTCTCTCTTGTCCTGCAGCTTTCATTCGGAGGTGGCCAAGCAGACCAAAAACATGAACACAAATAAGATGATACATACAAGGGGCCAGGGATTTAGCTCAGTGGTTCCGCCACCTTCCTGGAAAGCACAGGTCCCGAGTTCGATCCCCAGGACCAAAAAAAAAAAAGAAAAAAAAAAGACGAGAAAAAAGATGATGGGGGGGCTAGTTCTTCTCTTTTCTTCCTGGTGGTGCCAACTGGCAGTTTAGAAAAGGCGAGCATTGGATGTGGCTCAGTGGTAGAGGCAGGAAGCATGCACAGGTCCTAGGTTCAATCCCCAGCACCACAAAGATATAAAAAATAAATTTTAGCCCGGTGCAATGGCGCACAGCTGCAGTCCCAGCACGTGGAAGACTGAGGCAGGAGGATTGCAAATTCAAGTGCTGCTCCCCGCAATTCCAGGAGAATATCTCCAAATAAAAAATAAAAGGGCTGAAAAAAAAAAAAGATAAAAGGGCTGGGGGACGTAGCATGATACAAAGACCCTGGGTTCAGTCCCCAGGACCAAGAGGAAGGAAGGAAGGAAGAGAAGGAAGTATCCTTTTAAGGAAGTCTTTGCTCTGTTAAAAAAAAAATCTGGGATACGATTATATTCCAAACTCAAAGATTTAATCACTATAAAATTACAATTGTAATGTTGGGGGTATAACTCAGTAGTAAAACAAATGCCTTGAATTCAATCTCCAAGCACCATAATAATTAAGTTAATTAATCTTTCTCTGTTTGAGAAAGGTCTTGCTATGTAGTTCAGTAGTTTGGCCTTGAACTCGTGGCCATCCTCCTGCCTCAGCCTCCTCAGGACTAAGTGCTAAGATTACAAGTATGCACCACCATGCCTAGCCCCCATCTTTCTTTTTTCTTTTTTTTTTCTTGTACCAGGGATTGAACTCAGGACCTTGTTCTCCACCCCCACCACCCCCACCCCCGTACCCAGGATCAAACTCCAGTCCTTGTGCTTGTGAGGCAGGCAGCGGAACCACTGAGTTAAATCCTTGGTCCCAGGACCTTGTTCTTGTGAGGCAAGTGGAGTGCCACTGAGCTAAATCCCCAGCCCCTATCTTTCATTGATTCTGTATAAGATGGGGATGATGTTCATTGACATTGAGCTGTTTGTTTGTTGAGACAAAGCCTTGCTTGTAGTTCAGTCTGGCCTTGAACTTGTGGCAGTCCTCCTATCTCAGGCTTGATACACCTGATGAGTTGATACTGTTCTTGGTATCTAACAGAATAATTTCAAAGTAAGCTCTATTAGGATTTTTCAATGAGGAAACTGAGAAATGGGATTGGGGTTAAGCTAAATGGTAGAATGCTTGCCTACCATGCACTAGTCAAAGGGTTAAGGCCATGGGTTCTGTCCCTAGCACTGCACACACACACACACACACACACACACACACACACAAACAGAGAAGTAAACTGTCACCCTGTAGACAGTCACACAGTTGATCAAACTGTAGTGTTTGTTTACTTAATCACTGAGTTCTGTGGCTTCCCTGAGACTGGTGTCAGAATTGAATTAATAGCCACGTGTGGTGGCACATGCCTGTAATCCCAGTGCTTGGCAGGCTGAGGCAGGAAGATTGCCACAAGTTCAAAGCCAGCCTGAGCTACATATCAAACCTTGTCTAAAAAAAATGAAATTAAAAAAGAATCAAATAATAATATGGTAGCATTTATTAAACTCTTATACACTATACTACAATACTATCCCATTTCAAGTATGATCATTAAGGATTAGAAGGTGGGCCCTTGTTCAAGACTTCACAGCTAAGCAATGGTGAGCTTGAGAAGTGAACCTAAATTCCTTTTTGGGGGGGTACTGGGGATCAAACTTGGGTCCTTGTGCGGCGGAACCACTGAGCTAAATCCCCAGTCCTTGAACCTAAATTCTTAACTCTTAAGCTAAAGTGAAATATGTAGTTGAGATAATGTATGTAAATTATACCTGCCACTTTCTGAGCACTTAGTATGTGCCAAGTATTGATGTGAACTTAAAAATCATTCAGTCCTCACAATAGTCCTAAGAAGTATGTGATCATAGCTGGGCGTGGTGGTGCATGACTGTAATCTCAGCACTCGGGAGGCTGAGGCAGGAGGATCGCTGTGAGTTTGAGACCAGCCTGGGCTACATAGTAAGTTCCAGGTCATTCTCAACTACATAGTGAGACCCTGTCTCAACTCCCCCCTGAAAAAAAAAAGTATGTGCTCTTATTTCTATTTTCATACATGAGGAAACTGAGATGTGGACATTAAATCATTTGTCCTAAATCCTGTGCCTAGTAAATAGCAAAGCTAAGATTATTTGGAAGGCTGAGGCAGGAGAATCAAAAGTTTGAGGCCTTAGTGACACTCTGTCTCAACATAAAAATTTATTGTTTTTTTTGAGACAGGGTCTCACTTTGTAGTTGAGACTGACCTGGAACTCACTATATAGCCCAGGCTGGTCTTGAACTCACAACGATCCTGCTTCAGCCTCCCAAGTGCTGGGATTACAGGTGTGCACTGCGACGCCAGGCTTCAAAATAAAAATTTTAAAAGGCTGGAGATGTAGCTTAGTGGTAGAGCACTCTGTGGTTAGATCCCCAGTGCTGTAACAAAAAATAAAAGCTGCAATTAAGAATCCAGTGGTCTGACTTCAGAGTGTGCTCCTTATGCTAATACTATGAGTAAAAGCCCCGCATGATTAGGTAGGATGGGAAGTCTGTCTTGGGGCCAAGAATGGAAAAGGGGGGAGGATTTATGGAAAATTCATCAGGCAGTGACAACCTGACATCTTGCCTGCTTGGAGTCCGGCACAGGGCACATACCGCTTGTGTGCAGGAGGGGGCGAGCTAGAGCCGTGTGGACCAAGTGGTGCGGTGAGGAGAGGGAGGAGTCTGGACCTCTGACCTGTGAGCCTTTGGGATTTGCTGAAGAAGCAAATGTGAGGTAGACTAGAGAGAGGAGGCGGGGCTGCCAGCAAGGCCTGAGCTTTCCGAAGGCTGAGATGGGGAAGGCTGCATGCACATGGAGCAGTTGGGCCTGGAAATTGGGAGTTTGGTTTTGGTGTGTGGAGTGAGAGATGATATGGGCAGTCAGTTGGCAGTTGGTTATTTGAACCCAGAGTTCCTGGGTGAAGTCCAGGCTGCAGATTTAGGGCTGGCAGTTGTGGGACTGGGTGAGAACAGCTGGGGAGGGAGTGAAACCTGGACCAGTTGCACCATTGGGCTTGGCCCCAGCCCCGTATGGTCCCAGGCTTCTGCAGCACCTTGCAGAGCTGAAGATGCTGGTGTCAGGGTGGCACACACCTGCAATCCTAGTACTCCGGAGACTGAGGCAGGAGGATTACAGGTTGGAGCCTAGGCTGGACAATTTAGCTAGACCTTGTCCCAAAATAAAAATATATTTAAAATTAAACAAACAAAAAAGGGCTGGGGGGGGTAGCTCAGTGGAATGGTCCTGGGTTCAAAAAGAGGAGGAGAGGGGTCAGTGATTTAGCTGAATCGTTCTGGCACCTGCCTTGCAAGAGTAAAGACCCAAGCAATCCCCAG